AAGTTGCGTTATTTGAGTTAAGCATTGTTCTCCGCTGTTAAGGCCTTTACTTTTTATGAAACACGTGTGGAAAGTTAATTTGATTTTTTCAATTTCAACTGAGAAGGGTACCTACAAGTATCAGTATCATCTTATGAAATTTATATGATCTTATTTTTATATTAATCTCAGTTATGACATTTTCCATAAATGAAATATCAAAATTAATAATAAAATGAATGCAAATACAAATAACAGTAGAATGTAATAAATGTACATAAAATTATAGTATTTTATGTACAATTTCTGATAAAAATTTCATAAGAAAGGTACCTATAAATTAATTAGATACCTTTCTTAAGAAATATGAAATTTAATGTCACTCTTAACAGTTTTATTTTAATTTCTTTACAATATATTTTCCATAAAGCATCATAAACGTAAAGGTGAAAGCTAAGTAAAAAAAAAAAAAAAAAAAATTAGACCGCTGAAAGTTTTCCTTAAAAATAACGAGGTAAATAATTTGTTCACTTAAATGTAAATTATTTCACTTTTCTCCTTCCGTAGAACAAATTATCATGGAATTCGTAAATATCATTCATCACATGTCAAGAGACGCGAAAGTTTATGACCTGCTTTGTTTTATTTTCAAATTACATCTTTTTGGCACAAAAGCTAAGTTAAGTTTGGTTCAAAATATTTTAAATAAACATTATAATTTCTGATTTTCTTAAAATAAGTTTTGAAAAAATGATAATTGATATTTTAAAAATTTCAAAGTCAGATTTCCAGTTTTTTTTTTAAATGGAAAAAATGGTCAATTTTGCTGACTCAAAAAAAAAAAAAAAAAGATTTTTAATGAAAATTTTGGACGTGCTAGGAACGATTAAAAAATGGAAAAAAAATACCCCAAAAATACTTTGACCTTTCCTCTTAATAATAACAAACATTTAGACGATAAAATTTTGTTTTCATCAAGTTTGGCGTCTTTTCATCATGCTATGCTCTTTTTTTTAGCGATCTCGTGGAGGTACCTACTATAACCTAAAAAATCTTTGACCATTTTTTTAGATTCTTTCTTTTTTACATCATTTTTTATGTATCAAAATCTGTGTTGTATAAAAAAAAATATGAAAATGAATGCTTTTTAACAGTTTGATCTCCAGAAAAAATTACTTTTTTGATTCATATAACAAAAACTTTGCATAAAACTCAACATGTCAAGAATTTTTTTTTAGAACATTCATTTTAAAGTTTTTTCATAAAAAAAAAAAAAAGTAACCATAAACAACGGAAATTGCTTTATTTTTGTAGATTTAGAATATCAAACATCAACCAAAATTTGTTTGACCATTGAGGTCAAATATTTTTTTTATGCTATAATTTAATTAAACCTTAACACTTTTCAGAATTTTTAAATATTATATCACTTTTTCCATGACAAAATTGTGTTGCATTATAAAAAAAATGAAAATTCAGTTTCATCACCAGAAAATTTTTTTTATTGAAAACCTTGTTTTGGTCCTTATGTGAATATTAATCAGCATTAAAATAGCTTTACAAAGATATTTTTTCACCATATTGTGAAATATCAAAATGTTTTTATATCAAGTAGCAGATACTACATTCTGCCATTTTGAATTTTGCCCAGTTCTATGAAACGCTTGTAACAACAGTTCTAGTGGAATGCCCATCATGAAATTTGGAATATATACTGTCATAAGATAGACAAATCTTTTGTCAAAATTTTAAAAAAATTAAAATAACGTTTTTTGAGATAAGTCAGATCAACGGTCAAGCCATTTCTGTTTCTAACAAATTAAAAATGTGGAATTTTTACATTTCTTATACCAAAATTTGAACTTATTAATTCTATTTCTTATTATAAATGCTAAAGAAAGTTTTAATGTTTGTTTTTCTTTTTTTTAAAAGGTATCTTAAAAAGCAATTTTTTTACTTTACTGTATAATAAAAAAAAAAAAAAAAAAAAGAACAACTTTTCAAGCTAAATTAATTATGCTCTTAATCATTACATTTTTTTCTTTGAATTAAAGCTGACAACAGCACAAAACTAAAAATCTTTGCTCTCAGTGAAATGATGAAATTTGAAATAGGCCTCCAGTTCTAAGTGAGATAAAGAAAGATGAAGTTTTGTTTACATATTAATTATATCAAAATAACCTAGAAAATAAAAGATATCAGCATTTGAAATAAATGTCACTATTTTGACACATTTTCACAGGGTAAACTAAGGTAGGTTGGGATATTTACTTAATCTGAATCTAACAATAAGATTAACAATTAATAGAGATATCTAAATCAAATAGGAACTTAAAAATCAGATTCTACAGAGATAAATAGAATCCTCTTTACTTACAATAGAGAGGAACTTTAAGCCATGAACATATCACTGTATGTTTGATGTTTAATTAAAACCTAACACATTTTTTTTAACTTAATTGTAAATGCTTCTTAATTCTTATTCTTAAACAGTTTGACTAAAACTAATATTGAAAAGCTTTCATCTATATATAAATGTTACATTTTAAACTACAAAATATTAACTAAATTCATAATTCATAGTTTTTAGGTGAAAAAATATGATATAAATATATGACAGACACAAAAGTGAAACCCTTAATAAAGCTAAGGTAAATGTAGCTAACATGCTGGTAGAAAAATGGTTCCTTTTTTTATATTTACAAGAGGAAAATGAAAAACCAAAACAAGCTAGTGCTATATCAGCACTAGAAAGTTTCAGCTACTTTATGTGTAATAAACAGGCAGGTATCCATTTTGCCAAACTTCCTGGATATTGATGTATAATGTTTCTTACTATTGGCAAAACTGTTTATGGTAGAATAACTCGGTCTACATAATTTTGCCAACTGAGAACACATAGTAAGACCTTAACTGAAAGATCAGTTACAATTACTGGGAGAGGCTACTTATATGCAGCTGGGTTGAATAAATAGGACACTAAAAGCCAGTGTACAGAAGAGAAAATGGTGCTGCAATTTCATAATTTGGTGGGAGAAGAGGAAAAAAATACTTGGTAGATAAAATAAACTTTTGTTGAAATAGTAACAAGTTTACAGAAATAAGTAAACTTTACTTTTAATTTTGTTGCATTTGAGCTTAAGAAATTACGAATTTTATGAACCAGCACTCTTGATGACTACCATTTCATGAGAATTACTATTTTATGGTGATGATAACAAACAAAAACAAAGTAAATACAAAAACTACAAGGTAACCAAAAAAGGCACATGCTGTTTTTCATTTATTAGAAAAGAAATGTATACAGCAAATTTGATATACCATGAGTCTTCAAAGTGCCTGCCACAAGTATGTCTCATTTGCGAAAGATTTCCCACAAAGGTGGTTGTCCAGGAAATGGAAGAGATAGTAATGTTCAGAGAGCAAGATGGATAGCACAGTGTTTCCCAGCCAAGTTGTCGTATGGTATCCTTGGCTACATGAGGCCTGGCATTGTCATGAAGGAACAGTATACTCTTGCAATTAACCAGAGTTGGCTGCTTCTGCTTCAGTGCTTGTTGCACACTTCCCAACTACTGCGAATAAAGGCCCACAATGATAGTTTGGCTTTTTGGTATCAACTCATAGCACACCACTTGTCGACTAGTCCAGATACAGAGCTGACATGCTTGTGGGGGTGTCATGCAGGATCCACTTTTTGTCACTGGTAACTACTATGAAATATGGGTACATTGCAGTGCCAAAAACACAATGAGAGACTGTCACTCATTGTTGCTGGTTGATTTCTGACAGTGTGTGAGGTACCCACTTACTCAATGTCTATGTAAGTGAAGTTAGTTTCATTGTGTTCATTGACATATTCAATGACTTGATGTGGCTGGAGGCAAAACCACCTTAAAGTCAAAGCAGACATTCCCAAATGAGCTGCTTTGACACCGCCAGGTTCATACACTAATGCTTGAGCTATGATGGATATGTGTGTGTGCAATATACCTGCATTGATCAAGAGCAATGAACCCACCACTTTCCCTGGCATGTGATACACTCATTTGCATATCCATGATCACTTCTACCCACACAAAAAAAAGAAAAAAGAAAAAAGAAAAAAAAATAAATAAATAAAAAATAAAAAAATAATAACAATTACAACTGCAATAAAACCATAGTTTTTCGAAGCGAGTTTAAATAGGAGGTAAGTTTCAGAACTTCAGGTTAATGAGAGCATTCATATGATAAACACCTACCTCTAAAAATATCTAGTAAAAGATCAGAGATTGTTGAAATGATTCTGAAGGATCAGTTAACTGAATACTTAGGAACTAGCAAGTAAAGAGAAAAAAAAAAAAAATAAAATTAACTTTTTGTATAGCATCAGTCCAATGAACAGCGATTTCTGTATGAAAAACTATTTATATGCTAACTAAAAAGTTATCAGTCAATTGCACTTTTGCTAGACAAATCATTCAGAGATTTTCTTAAACCTTAATGTTTAAGTTTTGAACTGGTATTACTATTGTTCTTGCAATATGAATGAATTACAGCAGTACAGCAGCCAATTTAAGAGAAGGAAAAATTAATTAAATCTTAAACTGCCTTCTGGATATTGTGGGGCAGATCTGAAGTAGACCCCCTAAAGTGGTTGAAGAACATACTGCATCATATTCCAGTAGCTCCTTCAACTGTGCCAATACCAAATTGTATTTGTGCATCATTTTTTTTTTTTTATTAGCAATGGCAAGAGAGATTTGAAGGCCTGTTATTGGCATGTCTGTGTCTCAGATGCCAATAGTAAATAACTGATGCTGCATATTTTTGTTTATCTTGAGGGATACAAATGTTTCTTGGAAATTTACTTACTAAAATGGCCTAAATCCTATGAATCTTTTCAAATTCAAATATTTTGAAGATATGATTAGTAAAATTTTTGCTGTACATATCAGTTTATAAAGAAATTATATTTTTAAAACATGCTATTGTACTTTGTAAGAGATTTACCTATTTAAATAAGGAAGGAAAATTACCTTTCTGTAACTGTCTTCAATTGTAGGATCATATTTCTCCACAAATATTCCCTGGACAAACTGGACAGTCTGAAAAAGATGTATGATCAGAAATTCATCTGAAAATATTTATAAAAAATGATATTTTTTTAAACAACTGATTAAAGTAATCAAGGAATAAAGTGCCTGTAAATCTAATTGGAAAGGGAAAATACTGATTAGGTTTCATACAATCTGGTTAAAGTAAGAATACCATAACTGAACAGACTACAGGTATTGATTGATTGGACAAATTATCCCAATTGCACTAAAAGGCATTATTTTGGATGAACAAAGTTGGGAGCAAACCACTAAGTTTAAACTAGCTATATTGTTAAATAGTTAAACTTATTAACCTTTACCATGGTGCAGGTGAAAACTGTCATTGTAGAATTCTCTCTCTTTGCAGCTGAAGGGGCATTCTGCTGCCTTGAGATGGTTGCTATAAATAAACACTTGTCAACTGTTATTTCCAGTATTATAAGTTGCTAATCACCTACTATTGCTTTGGAACAAGGCTGAACTTCCATTTTCCAACACCATTTTGAATTTTTCTAGTTTCTACATGAGGGGTAACATCGATTAAACCCATGTTAGTTTTTTCATGATTTTTTTGTAAACAAATCAACATCCAACAAATCCTTTATTCAGGAGTTTTTCTTAGATTCAAACTCCGATGAGGATTTTGAAGGTTTTACTCAAGTGGACATTGACGGTGAAGTGGTCGCAAAGTTGATAACTACGCTAGTGACATGGAGGAAAGCGATGATCACTAGTGGGCTACTATCATCCATGGCTGATTAATTTTATGGAAGCTACTGGCAACCATTGATGTACCTGATAGCCTTTCTGAAGGTGAATTATTTCATCTATTTATGAACAATGAAATAACTTTATTTGTTAACATTTTTTGGGCCCTATTGTGGCCTTTGTCATTTTTTTTTTCAGCACCGTTTTATAGCCATCTGCCTATTTTTTTTTTTTTTTAAATTATTTTTAAATTGACATTACATTGTCAGTCATCAACTAATAATATACATGTATCTGCATGGCTAGTGCAGTGTGTACTATGCAGGAACTCCTGATTAGGTTGGAGCCCCAAAAGGGGCTTGTTTCAGCAGTGTTGTTTTTGTTTTTTTGTACTTTTTACTACTTAAGTTATATTGTCAATCATCAATTACAATAATTGACAGGGCTGGTGCTTACTACACTGAAACTAAACCCTGTGGGAGCCCCACGCCTACTTGGGGGTAGAAATGATAACTTTGGTAGTATTTATTTTTTTAACCTTTTAGTGCATATTGTTCCACTAGCTGAACTTATTTTAAGATGCATCTAGGCATAAAAATAATGCTTTACAAAATATTTGATTAATGACTAAGCCAATATTATAGATATAAAGAAATAAAGAGAAGACTTCTGAAAGTAGTAATATTCCAAATCAATCTAAAAACATTCTAAGTAGTGAAAACTTTTTACATATAACACAAGTTGCAACTTTTCTCGTTATCGTTTTCTCTAGCACTCCATATTACTGGTTCCTATATTGTATTCATTTCTACATTTGGTCAGCTTAGATTTTTGTGACCTAGCATATGTGCAGATTCCTCAGATTTTCATATTTTCCAGTGATGGTCTGTATTTCAACCTTCTCCCATAGGGGCAGTGATCTCCTTTTACCCTCCATATGTGGTCAGCTAAGACTGATTTCCCCCATCCTCTCGGTGTTCCTGCACTTTTATCTGAACAATGTAAATAGTATAAATAATGCCTAATCTCAAAAATATAGACAGATATAAATGTTGTTCAGATGAATATATGCTACCTGAATATACCTTCTTGTGGGTATGTGCACAGATAAAATTGGTGAGGAATTTAATTTCATGTAAATAAACTGAAGGAATCCCATAATTTTCAAAGGCATCAATAGAAAATATGAAACTTAAGGAATTGGTGCATATGCTGGACACAAAAATCTAAGCTGACCAAGCTTAGAATATGGAATGCTTTAAAAAAAAAAAAAAAAAAAAAAAAAAAAAAAAAAAAAGAAAAAAAAAAAAAAAAAAAAAGGAAAAGAAAAAGAAAAAGGAAAGACCAAAAACACCAAAAGATGCAAAAAACTGTTACCGAGACATTAGGTTTGTAAGTTCCAAAAATTCATATACTGATGTCCTGAAGGACATATCCCACTGGTTGAATCCAGTAACTTTACCCAAAAGAGTTATGAGTTCAATACCTGGCTAAGGTGAAAAACTAAGTTAATAGGAGATAACTGATATGGAAACATCCAGAAAAAGCATGGCATGTGAAACTAGAAAAATCAATCCAGTAAAGGGTTCAGTTTGAAATTCCAGTCACCTGAAAAAAGAGTGTACAATGGCTGAAGCATTTTGAATATGACAACAACAAAAAAAAAAAAAAAAAAAAAGAGGACAATGTAAATACTGAATAATGTAAATACTGTCAAAATCTTATATTCAATAATAGATTTTTTTTTGTTATTGTATTGTAACAATTTTCGAATAAAATATACATCATGATCATAATTGTAGATAAACTTTGTACAGTTCATTCACAATTTTGAACCCAATATACATCTAATTTTGGGAAAAAAATAAGACAGGCTTTGTCAATCAAATGTAATAAAACTTGCATGGATAAATATTTGCTACACACATGTGTGCATGGACAAAATATCTAGCTTGACAGCTGAATGTTTACTTATACAATTACTACTCAGAAATTTACATTGACAAAGGTAAATTAAAAAAAAAAAAAAACCTTAGCATAAAATCTGTTTTCCTTTTATGAGAAACTTAAAAACATGTTGACTGAAATGGTTCTTTCATATTACAACTTTGAGATTTATTTTTCAAGCAAATGTGACATTGACATCAAGAGTGAAAGGAATGTCACTCTTGACCCCCCCCCCTTTGTGACTAATTCTTGGGAAGCTTTTAATATTTAGCAAATGTCTAACTCAATCCATGGAAGACAAGTTGCCAGATTGTAATAGTTAAAATTTACAACCAATTACAATGGCAGACAAGCTGCAAAAATTGCTGCACACAAGACATGAACAAATTCACTTTTTCTACAAAAATGCAATAGACTTGCATTAAAAAAAAAAAAAAAAAAACAGTCACAATTTGTTTTTATTAAACATGGAAGAGGAAAAATGTGTGAAGATGAGTAATGGATTGAACAAGCACTAACTATAAGCGATAAAGTATTTTTACCATTCCAGAATTTTTTTACCCACATAAAATTTCCATCAAAATAAATTCTGCTTGCTAATTCTTTTGGCCATTCTAACCAGGTTGTCAGATAAAAGATGCTACTTTCAAACACCATTATGAAACAGCATTGTGAACATGCTTGGTTTCAAAGAAGTACTGTAGACCAAAAAATAGCATCACTAAACACATCTACATTTTTGCAAATTGCTTAAATGAAAATTCATATAATGAATACAAATATACCAACATGGTAGAAATGATTAAAACTTTACAAATATGGCTTAGAAATCTGAAATTTATATATTTTTGGAGGGCCTTGTTTCCATTTTCAAAACAAAGTATATAAACTTTCATAACTTAATCTAGACTTACATCATATCAGTGAGCTAATAATAGAAGTCACCAAAATGAAATCTATGCTGGCTGTGACCCCAAATACAAAATGGTTAATCAGCATGGTCAGATTGAAAATGAAGTACCAGGTGTTAACAGAAAACAGTGCTATGATCTATCAGTCAAGAAACTAATTCTAAGAGGTCCCTAAATTTGACTATTCACCTACGGAAAGGTCTATCAAAGGGGAATAAGTTGGAAATCTGCAGTCAGTCAGTCCCGGATCAAGAGAGACATGATTACTCCACCATGTATCACATAAACTTACTGGGTGGAAAATGCAAACAAATAAATAGCAAAGGAAATATGAGTAACTTAGTCAAAAAAAAAAAAAAAAAAAAAAAAAGACCTCTTTATATTAATTAACATTGCAAAAATTTACATAAATTTTAAATTTATATGTCCTCGAAGATTAAGTGATCACTACCCCATTATTATCAAGACTAACAAAGAACTACTTAAAAAAGAAAAATGCCGATATTACAAAGCCAATTGGACTGCCTTCACTTTGCCAAATAAAAAATATCTTTAAAAAATCAGGTCCCCTAATTGAGTTCACTGAAATATTAAACAAAGACAATCTATAGAAAAAAAACAAAAAAAAAACAAAAAAAAACAAAACAACTTGATTTAGCATGCAAAAATATTGGAGATGGAAGATCCAACCCCCAACCAATTTACAAAAAAGCCAAAGCTAAAGCACAATAAGTAATAAAACATAACAAAAAAATAAAACATTGACAAGCTTACATATCCCAACAGCCAAACTTCAATTAAAAAACTTGGAAAATAATTGGTAAACAGCAAGCACAATACATAAGCCAATGGAGAGAAATACTGTAAAAATAAAAAAGCCAATCTAAAAAAATTTTTTAACAAAAACTTTACCAATGACTATACACCAACATTCTAAAAATAACACAGACAGTAAACTTAAAAAAAACAAAAAAACAAACAAAAAACAAACTTTAAATAGATCACCAGTTGAAAATAATACAAGTAACCAACTTGTATCAGAAACTGAATACAAAATAAAATATTAATTAAAAGCCAGCATCTTTAATAAGTGATTAAAAAGCCTAGATATATTAAGTACCATCAGAGATTTGCTAAAATTGAACATACATGTTGAAAAAATGCCCCAAACTTAGAAGGAAAAGTTTTGTCAGAATTTTTGTTACTAAGAAGAAAGACCAAAGGATTTTCAGATTAAATTATATTGTGATCCTTTTAGAAGGCTTGAAATTTTGGTAAAATTTTTTTTTGTTTTTCTGGCATCAGCAGAAGATCATAAATTAGTATAGAAAATTTTAGCATCTTTTTGCAGTAAAAAACAGACTTGGAAATTCTTACAAAAAAAAAAAAAAAATCTCTTACCAGCACCCACCTTAATTTTATGCAATTGAGAAATTCGTTTTTTGTACTGCTTAATGTTTATACTCGTGATATGCAGAACTCCTCGGAGAATTTAAATAAATAATTTTTGTAAAACAGGACTAACTCCCACAATTAGCAAAAATCTGCTCTGAATAGTAAAATAAAAAATGCAATAAAACTAAGTCATTTAATTAGAAAAGCTTTTAATTGTTTTTATGAATAAGATATTATGGATGCTATTGTCTTAAAGAAAAAAATCCTTTTCAATGATTAATGAATTTTTTTTACAAGAATTGTTTTCATTCTTTTTAAGTTTTAACTATAAAGTTTGAAATATTTAAATTCTGTATTAAGTTGGTTATGTTAACTATATTTACTAATCAAAAATAGAAATTCAGTCAATTTAAATTAGTTTTGAAATGGTAAGTATTTTACTTATTGGAAATATTGAATGTAATCTATTATTTTGAAAATAAAACTAAAATAAAAAGCTTTAAGAAAAATTTTTCATTTTTAAAAATTAATTTTAAACCTTACATACCACTTTTTTCAGGTAGTACCAATAGATTTTATTTACATATATAAGTTGAAGTTCATGATCTCTAAGACAGGATGTAAAAACTTAAGATTTGGCAATTTAGCAAAAATAATAAATAAATTGAAATGTTTAAAATTTAATCATTAAACATTCAAATTTATTTGTTTATTATTTTTGCTGATACCTTTAACCATTTTAATAGTGGAAGAGAAAACAACTTTTTTTGTTAAATTAGCCAGTGTAACAGTAATAAGATAATATGGAAAGCATTCAAATTAACAATTGAAAATAAGCAGCGCTGCTTCCTGTCGGCTACTGTTTATAGTTGGGTTGCTAAATGGGTGAGTCTTATTTCTTCATTAAGCTCAGAATTATTTCTAGAATCCAAATTTGATAGATTCTATTATATTGGTTATTACACTGGTGATTATATTGAAGTTGGTTATTACATTGATGAGTTATTCATTTTTTCTATCTCTTTTAGATAATTAATCCTTCATTATGTCAAAAAATAAAAAAATAAAAAATGATGACTACTTGCGTTTTGGTTTCACTTGCACGAGAAATGATGAATTGTAAAAACCGCAGTGCATACTTTGTAATGCTGTTTTCCAACGCAAATATGAAGCCATCAAATTTGCAAGAGCTCTTCAACAACATGGTGGAGGTGATGCTGAAGGCCACAATTTTGAATCACTGAAAACTAAAAGAGCCCGTTTTCAATCTCGAGGAAACCCTTCCAAGATTAGGTTTCATTTCTGCTGACAAACTACTGCTACTGGCTTCATATCACATGGCATATAAAGTTGATAAGTCCAAGAAGCCCCAAACAATTGCAGAAGAGCTGATGAAACCATGTGCATTAGAAATGGCAACTGTTCTGGGCCAAGAAGCAAGAAAAAAGCTCGAATTAGTGCTGCTATCAAATAATGGCATTCACAATTGAATTAAGTTATCTCAGATCAGGTCTAGTTCTTTGAAAATCTCTCTCCAGTTGGATGAATCAATTGATGCATTAAACTGCAGTCAACTCATTGCAGTGGTTAGGTATGTCAGTAGTAGTATTGTGAAAGATTTCCTGTTTTATGAAGAGCTGAAACCAACCACACAAGGAAAAGATGTGTATCATTTTGTGAAAGACTTTGCCAAACATGGTTTAGATATACAAACAATTGGTTCTGTGTGCACTGATGGTTCTCCTGCAATGCTAAGGAATAAATCTGGATTTTATGCACTGATGAAGAGGGAGATTCTGCACTTGCAAGTCACCCGCCGTTTCCTTCATTGTCATGCCTTGGCAGCAAAAACATTGCCTCCAAGCTTGAAAAAAGTACTAGACACTTGTGTAAAGATCAACTGGATTAGGGAACATCTTTAAGTTGTTTTGTGAAGATCTGGGAAATGAATATTCACTTTTGCTTTACCATACAGAAGTCCACTGGCTCTACAAGGGCAAGCTTTAACCTGCTTCTTCAAACTGTGGGAAGAAATCAAAGTTTTTCTGGAGGAACGTGACTATGATCTGGTTATTGAACTGGAATCACAAAATTTCATGCAAATGCTGGCTTATTTGGCTGACATTTTCACTTGTATGAATGAATTGAGTCTCTCTCTTCATGAAAAAGACAAGAACATTGAAATGTTGCAAAAAGTTGAAAGATTTAAAAGAAAAGTTACCTCTTTGGTGTTAATGGGCAGAATAAGGTAATCTTTCAAATTTTCCATCACTTGAAGAAATTGTTGATGATAATGGATCTCTAATTCCTACTGTGTATGAAAGATATTGTGGCTCATTTGGAAATGCTATCAAAATCATTTAATGGGATATTTTGAAGCTGGAGAACTGAAGATTTCAGGAGAATGGATCATGAATCCATACTACTACAATTTGGATAATATGCCGGATGATGACAAGCTGAAGGAAGATCTTATTGATTTGCGGACAAATTGCACTCTTGAAATGCAGTTTGAAAGCAAAACTTTGGAAGAGTATTGGTGTCCAACAATGAATATGTTTCCAAGACTTTGTGAAAAATCCCTTATTGTCCTTAGCCCATTTGCGACCACATACTTATAGGAGTCTGGATTTGGTTCTCTTTTGTCAATCAAGACAAAATCAATAAATCACATGAATCCACAGGCAGACATGCAGATCGTTATCAGCAACAAAGATGGCATTTCTGCAATTCTGTATTTAGCATTGACTACTGGTATATTTTGTTTGGAAGGCATCTTGCAAAAGCACCTGAAGATTAAGGCAAAAGCTCTATACATCATCTTGTATATCATTTCAGGATATTCAATTTTGATTTTAAATTACATTCTTAGCACACATCAAGGTATCATTAGAAAGTAAAATGTATTTATGCTGCAGCCACAGTACATTTTCAAAAAATTAACTTATTAAAATTGTTTGAAATACAGATAAAAATTTTCCTGCTGTAGAAATTGCTTTCTGCTAAAACATTTTTTAGTATATACTTAAGCCTTGTTTCACATTCAACTCACCATGCAACAATCTACATTGTAATTTTTGTAAGTAATAAAATACACAAGTGATTAAATAGTGTAGTACTCAGTTTGGTGCATTCACCAATAAAAAAAAAAAAAAAATACTATTCTAAGATGGCCTAAAATGTAAATAGATAAAGCAATATTTAAAAACTTACCAAGGCACTTTTGCCAACACCACCACTTCCTAAGACAACCAATTTGTACTCCCTCATTGTTGATTTATAACCTATAATAAAAGAAAAAACTATTCTGAGTATTAAAGTAGATAAATACTTTAGATAATTTTTTTTTCTTTCCTTTCTTCAAAATTATGACATTCCTTTACTTTATTTGCATAAAATTAAATTCCTCCCCAATGTTATGCATGCACACACTCAAGAAGATATATTTAGGTAGAAGGCAGTCATCCAAACAACATTAATTATATTCAATATTCAGTTTTTTTTGTTTTTTTTATGTATTGTAACAATTTTCAAACAAAATTTACATCATGATCATAATTGTAGATAAACTTTGTACAGTTCATTCACAATTTTGAACCCAATATACATCTAATTTTGGGAAAAAAATAAGACAGGCTTTGTCAATCAAATGTAATAAAACTTGCATGGATAAATATTTGCTACACACATGTATGCATGGACAAAATATCTAGCTTGACAGCTGAATGTTTACTTATACAATTACTACTCAGAAATTTACATTGACAAAAGGTAAATTAAAAAAAAAAAAAAAAAAAAAAAACCTTAGCATAAAATCTGTTTTCCTTTTGAGAAACTTAAAAACATGTTGACTGAAATGGTTCTTTCATATTACAACTTTGAGATTTATTTTTCAAGCAAATGTGACATTGACATCAAGAGTGAAAGGAATGTCACTCTTGACCCCCCCTTTTGTGACTAATTCTTGGGAAGCTTTTAATATTTAGCAAATGTCTAACTCAATCCATGGAAGACAAGTTGCCAGATTGTAATAGTTAAAATTTACAACCAATTACAATGGCAGACAAGCTGCAAAAAATTGCTGCACACAAGACATGAACAAATTCACTTTTCTACAAAAATGCAATAGACTTGCATTAAAAAAAAAAAAAAAGAAAAAAACAGTCACAATTTGTTTTTATTAAACATGGAAGAGGAAAAATGTGTGAAGATGAGTAATGGATTGAACAAGCACTAACTATAAGCGATAAAGTATTTTTTTACCATTCCAGAATTTTTTTTTTACCCACATAAGAATTTCCATCAAAATAAATTCTGCTTGCTAATTCTTTGGCCATTCTAACCAGGTTGTCAGATAAAAGATGCTACTTTCAAACACCATTATGAAACAGCATTGTGAACATGCTTGGTTTCAAGAAGTACTGTAGACCAAAAACCAGCATCACTAAACACATCTACATTTTTGCAAATTGCTTAAATGAAAATTCATATAATGAATACAAATATACCAACATGGTAGAAATGATTAAAACTTTACAAATATGGCTTAGAAATCTGAAATTTATATAAGCATAAGCTGGTTTTAAGATGAATTACAAATTAACAGACCAGAGGCAGAGATTGATTGGTTGAGTGGGAGAAACAAACCCCATCATATTCATATTTCAAACAATATAGTTTTGGAGAAGCAAGATTAAGAGTAGATCTCACAGCTTAAACTAGCTATGTTGATAAATATTTAATTCAGCTGATACAGTACGAATATATCCAAACTTCAACCAAGGATGCTAAATGTATTTCAAGACATTGTAGGGGAGAGAGAAAAATATTATGAGAATCATACCCGAAATAGATGAGTCTTATTGCTACCAATAAAATCAGTTAAGAGCAGAAATTATATTCCAAGTAGTTGATTCCTGTGTTATAACAATTATACACAATTATGCATGGAAGTTAAATTAATGGTGTTAGATGGTAGAAACGTTCACTAATTTATTTGACTTACAATAGAATCAAAACTAGTATTAAACAATCAGCCTTTGGGAAATAACTCATGTGATTTTGAAACATGGTCCAGACTAAAAATTTATAGATATAGTCTAAAGAATTCCATTAAAAAGAATTTCCTATTTGGCAAACAGATACCAGGTTGATGTTTTTGATTTATAAATGAAAGGATTAGAAAAATATTCAAATAAAAAGTGATGAGTCGAGGTTAAAAATTAACACAATTTACTTATACTAGCATATTACACCTAGTAAAAAAAAAAAAAAAAAATATATAATAATAATTAGCTTTCATGTTTCCTTCATGGCCAAGTCAGTAGCAAAATTAAGAAATCAGTATTGAATAATAGGAGCACTTGTGGTGTGGGATAGGGAAAGTATACATACTACCAGCTGCAATAGATGTACACAAATATTTCTGTAACTAATTGTGCAGTAAAACTAAGTCACTCAGAAGAAAAAGACAGGAATGAACTAAGTTTCTGTTACCCACCTACTCAAATTCCAAGGCAAACTGATTAGCTTTTCATTGAATCAAAAAGCCCCCCATGCTGACCAACCAATGGATGCTAAATATAGGATATTATCTAAGAATGATCATTGCCCACCACGCACATATAGGTGGAGATTTTGGTAACTAAAGATTAGGATTGAGCTAAATGCTTAAGTGGTGATACTGATACCAAAAAATAGAAGACTGTGACAGAGGAAGATGTAGAAAGCATTTTTACCAAGTTAATCTATTTTTGATGTGATTTGAAAGAACATAAAAAAATTTAGAGGATCATTCCTAGCATGTGAATATTTGACAATATAGTAAAGACCAGAAATTAAGACTCAAGATTTTTAAGACCTTATTTAACAGCAGGTAAATTAATCTAGTCATAGGTTTGCTTACATTAGTCGAAAAATATGATCTTCATGTCAATCAACATCATTAATCTAAATTAAGAATGGCAGATATTTTAAAACATCTAATATCAAATTGCTGAAAACTATGCATTTGGTATCTGGTACATGACCACATAATCCATCAAATGGTTATCATTCTCAGAAGTTAAAATAAAAAAAATTAAAATTTCAGAATGTAGAGTGAGAAAATAGCCATTTTCTCCCCTCCATCCATGACATTGAAATATTTACAAGCAAAATTCCATTAGCATCCTCAACTGTGGTAAGAATTGATAGACAAATTTTAACTGGCACATTTTAGTTAAAGCATTATTGGAGTAGAAGAAACATCAAGAAGCAAATTGGTATGTGTTTATACATGGAGACATACCTACATATACACTACATACAAGTATTGCCATATGAAAGTTAAAGAATTTTGAAATATACAAACTCTTAAGAGGGGAGGCTGTCCCACATTTATCTCGCAGGCAAGTACTTTAATACACAAAAATCTTAATAGCAAATTACTAACATTTCTTGAGTGAAAAAAACAAAAACAAAACTAATTTTGAAGCAAGTTATTGAGAACATACCAAAATTACTAAAAGGAGTGAAATTGAAAATAAACCATCCTATACCATGATCTCCATTAACTAAAGGGGGGGAGGGGGGTGAAAAAAAAAAAAAAAATGAAAAAAGAAAAAGAGCCCCACCCATATTAAAGTGTGTGAATGTTAGTGTTTATAGGCATATGAAAGCAAGAAGATTTGGAAATCTGTAAAGAACTCAGAAGCGTTTATGATTAAGATTTACTGAGCAGAAAAATTAAAATATGCAAAATTTTATCCCTACCACCAGCCATGGAATGAGACAGGTGTCGATGGCCACGATTCATCTTCACTTTGGTAAAAAGTCCAAGACAACTTACTAATACAGTGACTAATCTAACAGGTGCCTAGTTTAGTGCCTATGTGTGTGATGTGCCTCTGTTAAGCAGGGACTGATGGGCTAGTTTGCTTGCCTCGGATCTAATTTGAAGCCTGCATGCGTGTGCATGCAGGCACACAGTAAATCAGCCAACAAAAGAATATCAATACCTGCAACTAAGCAAACTATTTTTGTTTTATTTTATGATAAACTCCACACACACATATATATATATATATATATATATATATATTACATACACACACATTTCCCTGAAGGGTAGGCAGTGGAAACTTGTTAGAATTCCATTTTTACTTAACTGTGTTACTGTTAACAGTAGCAACCAGTGAGCATGAACTAAAAGTAACCTACCTCTCTCTATCTCATATGTGTGTGTGTGTGTGTGTGTGTGAGAGAGAGTGAGCTGGAGAGAGAAGAATGGCAAGCAAAATAAAACGGGTTCAAAATGAGTACTATAACCCTTGGGACAGTACTCGTATTCCTAATGTTAGGAATTTTATCTATATTTTTTTTTTACTCACTATGGACAGTACCTTCCTGTCACCATAGTAGACATTACTGTGTAAGCAAAGCATGGGGGTATGACCTACTTTTCAAATTATTCCTTCATCCCTTTCTTTCACAATACTAACAGACTAACCAAGTTAGCTGATATACAGAGCTGCTGCTGCTACCACTAGTAGTAGAGCAGAAAGGCATATTTTATGTAGACATTTAAGTTTTAAAATGATTTCAGATGTTAAAAAAATTGAAACTAATGAAAATAGTAACAATATTTCATAACTGCTTGGAGATTGCATATGAAAATTGTAATTAAAAATTATTCTATATACATAATACTCCTCAGTAAACTTAAAAAACCCAAAAAAAAACAAACACTTTAGCCAAGGTTTAGACATCAAAATTTTTGACTGACTATACTTTTTTTTTTTTTTTCCCCCTATATAAAAGAGCTATTTCCAAATTACTGTTTAGTTTTAGCCCCACACTAAAAATTTATACAGGCAGGTAGGGAGAAAAGATGATACCAAAGCTTTAAGAAATTCAATAGTTGCACCAGTAACGGAAAAGTTTTTCTAAGTAAGGCAGTTGATGGCAACAATCAATCAGCAAGCATCGTTTATAATTATATTTTCATTCTTTCATATACAACACAAAGTTAAATTAAATACCCCAAAGTTGCTTGCTAATTTTTTTTTTGTCAGCATTCCAAGTTATTTTCTTGCCTGTATACGTTTACCATTGGCCATTAAAGAATTGTTTTTTGTTAATAATGCTGTTGGTTGCATCTTTTGTGTGTTCACATGAGTGTTCTATTTATTTTTTATTGAAATATATTTAGTGTGTTAAGCGATGTCATTTTATTTATGTTCATGCTTAAGGCTTCTAGTTGGCTGTATGCTTTTTTTTTTTTGGGTGGGGGTTTTACTTAATGTGATATTGACAATACTTTTGTTTTTCCTTTGTTGCTGGTGATTCAGTTGAGCTATTATCAGATAAATGGCACTGACAGCATGACAATGTAGTAGTTATGAAAACAATGTATGTGTTCTTTGAATTATTAAGTTTAGAAAAGCATTCTCCAAATGAACAAGTGAATTTGCAGACAATGAAGTTGGTACCCAATTCCAAGATAAATTTAATATTTTCAATAAGCAAAATACTTTTGCACATTTCAAACTGAATTTAAATTGATTGGAATTATTTTTTCTGATTATTAAAATTGATAAAATTGTCCATACTGGCAAATCTGTCAATGTTAATCCTTTATTAAAAAAAAAAAAAAAAATCTTTAGAAAATAAAATACATTTTTTTAAAATGTTATTTGAGAAAAAATACCCAATTTAAAGTTTAATTAATCTCTAAATTGAAACATTCTCAGTTTAAAATATTGCTGAAAAGCATTTAACATGGAGGTGTTTTTATGAGGAGTCATCTGCATATACATGTTAAGATTGTAGTGCCAATAATGAATACTAGTAGGACCAGATTCCCTTAGAATGTATAGGTTGAAAGTCCAGTGAGAAGACATCTTTATCATACACACTCCTACATTTACTGAATTCATTTTCTATCTATATACAGAATAGGTTCTGGTTTATTCTAATATTCTTCCTTAGCAGTTTCTTGTGATGTACTTTATCAAACGCTTTTGCATAAGCTATAAAACATAGGTAGACATACTTTTGCATTTGTATTGCCCTTTTTGATATAATTCAGAGCATATTGAATACAATGTGAAAGCCTTCTCTATATTATTTTTTTTCGAGTACCCAATAATCTTAAAAATTTAGGAAAATATTCTAAGTAATCCTATATTTTATTGCATTTTAGGTACATTGCCTTTATAGCCTTCTTTATGAAGATGCTGTTTGAGGAAATGGAAAATAATAAATTTAGTATAGTTACTCTTATATTGATAGTGTCATGTATTTACGGCCATATTTTATAAAAAAAAATTAGCATATATATATAAAAAATTAAAAAAATTAAGGCTTACTGGTAAGAAATTCTTAAAAAAAAAAAATAAAAATAACTTCAGCCAGGAGTTGCTGGGTTTTTATGGTATAGTTTACATGTTAGGCCGCAAATAGTAATAAACAGACTATCTAGATTTCTACAACTAATTTTGCCAGCCAAATCACTTAAGCTTTAGCACCAACCAATGAATACCTGGATGAAAGATCTCTACTTGTAAGGTCATCTGGTCACATCAAAGAGTTCATTGAAGTCATTTATCTAAATGACACCAAACTCTAGAAAAGATTCTTTCATAAAAATAGATTTTCTTAATAAAGGCAATTAAAAGCCTAATTAAATAATGTTTTAGCTTTATTGTATTTTTTATTTTATCATTTGGAGCAGATTTTCTATAACTGGGTGTCCTGCTTGACCAAAATAAAATTTGATTTAAGTTCTCCGAAGACATGCCCTTGTAACTATTAGGTTGGTGCAAAAATAATGTCGTTTTTGACTTTCAACTTCAAAAGAGAAAACGACATTATTTTTGCACCAACCTAACTTACAAAAAAGAATTTCTTAAAATGTCAAAAATAAGTGGGTTTAGAAAAAAAAAAATCATTTAAAAAAATAATTTCATTTATTTGTGAGTGTCCTGAAATTGTAAGTTTGACAATTGTCTGATTTTTTGCAAAAATTTCTAAATCTACAGGTTTTTCACCACAAAAAATGCTCAAATTCCCTGTAGCATTTCAGAAAATACATCAGTTTGATGTTTTGGTTCATCAGGGGTTTTGGGTCTTTCAACATCACTCTGCAGTGATTCAACCAATACTGATCAGATATCAACTTGTGTGCCACCCATCAGCTACAACTGTTATTACAATGCAACAATATAATCATTTTGCTCTCACAAGAAATATGGCAACTGGCAACTCAATTTGAAGTACCTTGAGGGGGATTTTTTTTTTTTTTTTTTTTTTTTTTTTTTTACACGCAGCAAATCTTTGGGTGGTATGAAGTTTTGATTTTTGTTGCATTGTTAGTGATTACCATGTTAGGTTCCCATTTTTTTTTTTTGCAATGGAAAGCAATTTGTCATTAGTTAATACACATTAGATTTTTTTTTCTGTTTTTTTCATTCATTTCATACCAAGCAAAGTAACTAAGACACAAGGGACTACCTAGTTTGAAAGTATTGGAGAAAAAGAAAAATACAAGGGACAGAGAACAGGAATTTAAGACAAAAAAAAAAAAAAAAAATTTACATTGCATTTAAATTTTTGAAAATTTAAATTGACTGGAAAACAAGAAGCTGAAAAAGTTCCACAAGTGAGAAGTGCAAAAGAAGAAACTGTTAGCATAGAACTTATAATTACATCTAGTAATTTCAATTGTAAAATGATACCTAGATGCCAATCTAGTAATGTGCTTAAATTTGTAAAGTCAAGGTACCAAAGAGGGAAGATCATCAGAACAATTACCATGGAAATTGTTGTAGAAAAAAGGCAGAGGGAAGTTACATTATAAATGGTGGGAAAGTGACAAGTTTATAATTTGTTTATCAACAATGGAGAAATTGTTAGTTTTATGTTTTTGAATTTAAGAAATACTGTGTGCATAGAGGATATTTAACCTGCTCAATTTTTAAAATTATTTATGAGGGCAATTTTATATGTGCGTGTATTTACTGTGGTTTACTGTTAAGTAGGTGTGAATTTTTTTTTTTATAAAACAGAAGTTTAAGTTTTGACTCTTCAAGTCAATACAGCTAGAAAAGGAATTCTGTCATTATAAAATTAAGTAGTTATTTTTGAAGTTCTCAGATTTTTACTTCAATGAATGCCATCAACATGGTGATTGGGATTTTTATTTTTTGTTTTATTTAATTTTCTAGAGCCAACATAAAACTGAATGATACGCAAGTCCATGACTTCAATTTGTGTATAAATTTGGACTTAATTGTACATATATTTTAGCTTTCTTATTTAATTTTATTTTGTTTATTCTGTACTTAAATTTCATTTATTTAATTGTATTCATTTTTGAATGGGCAAATATATATTTTGTCTTGTAATCATCTTCTGCAAGCCTAAATAATAGATAATATAGTGTCAGTTCCATAACTATCTTAATATATATATTTGGAGCTAATCTCCAATACTTTTATTTACGTTTTCCTGCTTGGGATCGGGTTTCCAGTTCCTTCTAAAGTCAACAAACTATACTTGTACTGTCTCCACCTGAACTCTGAAATTTTATTCACTATTTTTTTTCCTTCTCTCCCAATAGGGGTAGATAGGTTCACCTATCCTCCGGTTCAGTCCTCCCCAGTTCTTTTGAATAGGAGTAGAAGTTTATCTCTTGTTTCCTGCTTAGGATTGGGTTCTTGGTTCCTTCTAAAGTCTACTTCCACACTATACTGCTAATGTCTCTTACTGAACTCAGAAATATTATTCACTAATTAAAACCTGACCTCTTCAAGT